AGGTCTCTTCCAACTCTTTGATTCTATGATTCTATGATTCTATCTCCATCTTGGGGGTTGAGACTATTCAAAGCTCGTCTTCCACATGCTATGCGCCCCCAGGGCATTTTACTAGTATTTAAAGCAGGAGTGGGCGCATCCTGGCCTCCAAGTGCAGTGTCGCACTATTTCAGGCTCTAGAGTGGGCTGCAGTGTGTCATTTGATGCTTCTGGAAGTGAAGATGCATCTTTGCTGAGCATGTGTTATATTTTGCGGGCTCGGTGTAGAATTTCTGGACCTGACGTAGCAAAAGGAGCTTCTTTCCTCCCAAAAAACATAAATGTCCAACCAGATTATTCTCAGACATATTGGGGAACCCTACAAGGGCTGGGATGGACACAACACAGGCACAATTTTCTCCTTTGGTGAAATGGCTGGTTTCTTTAGGTCAGTGTTTCTCAACCTTTCTAATGCTGCAGCCCCTTAATACAAGTTCTTCATGTTGTGGTGACCCCCAACCACAAAATTATTTTCAATGCTACTTCATAACTGTAATTTTGCTACTGTTATGAATCGTAATGTAAATATCTTATATGCAGGATGTATTTTCATTCACTGGAGCAAATTTGGCACAAATACCCAATATGTCCAAATTTGAATACTGGTGGTGGTGTTGGGGGTTTGATTTTGTCATTTGGGAGGTGTAGTTGCTGGGATTTATAGTTCACCTACAACCAAAGAGCATTCTGTACCCCACCAATGATAGAATTGTGCCAAACTTCCCACACAGGACTCCCATTACCAACGGAAAATACTAGAAGGGTTTGGTGCGCATTGACCTTGGGTTTTGGAGTTGTAGTTCACCTACCTCCAGAGAGTAGTGGGGACCCAAACAATGATGGATCTGGACCAAACTTGGCATGAACACTCAATATGTCCAATTGTGGAGTTTGGGGAAAATAGACCTTGACATTTGGGAGTTTAGTTGCTGGGATTTATAGTTCACCTACAATCAAAGAGCACTCTGAACCACCAATGATGGAATTGAACCAAACATCCCACACAGAACCCCCATGACCAACAGAAAATACTGTGTTTTCTGATAGTCTTTGGAAATGGTCTGACACCACCTCGCGACCCCCCCCCCCAGGGGTCCCGACCCCCAGGTTGAGAAACTCTGCTCTAGCTCTTTCCTTGTACCCTGGTGCTGTTGGTTCCATGTGTCTCAGTTTTCAACTGTGTAATGTTGGAGATTATAAAATTTCTGTTGCCCCAAGTGGCAACTGCAGCAATATGTTGTGGGCTTTCACAATTCTATACTGGCTGCAAATAGGGTGATACATATTACTGGGCTCTTACTCATACTTACTCTAAATCCAACTACTAATCCTAACTACAGTAGATGCATTGAATCAGTGGTAACCTAGAAGCTCCCAGTGTGCAATGGGTTAAACTCTTGTGTTGGCTGGACTGCTGACCGAAAAGTCGGAGGTTTTAATCCAGAGAGTGGGGTGAGCTCCTGTCTGTCTGCTCCAGCTTCCCTTGTGGATGCAAGAGAGATGCCTCCCATGGAATTATACAACATCCAGGCATCCCCTGGGCAACGTCCTTGCAGACAGCCAATTATCTCACACTAGAAGCAACTTGCAGTTTCTCAAGTAGCTCCTGACACACACACAAATGGTAACCTGCTAAGTTAATACCGTCCACAACACCTATGTCCATCATTTAGCAAGGAAAGCAAAACTGCCTGAACACTCATGCTCCCAAACTGCCAGGCCAAGTTTAAAATGGAAAAAAGTGAATGGGTATCTCGCGCAATATGAGTGTATCCATATGAGTGGAGCATGGCCATTATTAAGTCTAGTGTAGAGGATATACTGGACAGCAAATGGTTTCTGGCATATGTACTTGAATCTATTGAGTTCAAAGTTTGTTTTGCACCACCCTGTACTTAAAACAGGTATGTATGCGCACGTGTGCAGATGCATGTGTGCGTCTCACTGCCCGACTTCTTGGATAATTGCCATTTGTTACAAAATGGATGACGACTGGCTGAGGTCACGATGACGAAGTCACAAAGCACCCGGGGTGTTTCTAGCACACTCCTTTTACTCCAGACCTGCAGAACTGGTTTCTTCCTGGGAAAGGAACAGGCATGTTTAACATCCGAGACAACAAAGGTGGATGGGCAGGACAGCAGGGAAAGTTATCCTTGTTATAAAGCCCTTATGCTGGTAGAAAACACCAATTGGATTCCAGCAAATTCATGATGAAATATATGAAGGAAGGGTATGTAGGAAAGACAACATCCACCACCGAGAAGGCCCTCTCTCTCATCCCCACCAACCGTGCTTGTGACGGAGGTGGCCCTCCCCGGAGGATCTTAGAGTTTGCGCTGGTTCATAGAAGGAGATGTGATTGCGAAGATAGGTGGGGCCCAAACCTATCCTTTGGACTTCCCAGAATCCCATGCTCAGTGGTAAGGGACTTAGGGAGATGTAGTACAAAACATCTGAGGGACAAAGCTTTTGTATATTTGATGTATTATTATATTTTATTATTATAATATTTATTTATACCCCGCAGGAGACTCAAAGTAGATGGTAGCAACTGAATAAAACTTGAGACCTGGGCACAAGAAGGAAATTGTCTCTGAATGGGCTGTTTATTCTCCCTTTCTTAGTTTGCAGGTCACTATTTAGGGAGATGGTTTAGGATGCTGATGTAGGGTGACAGCTCACCAGTTAAGATAAAGAAAAGGTAAAATCAGTTATCTTGGGAAGTCTGACTTGGCCACAGTAGTCCACTCTCTGGTTACATCCCGTATAGATTACTGCAATGCGCTCTACGTGCCCTGCTCTCGATCCCACCTTCCTCGCAGATGCGTTTGGCGGGGACGAGACAGGGCCTTCTCAGTGGTGGCCCCTCGGCTATGGAACTCCCTTCCCAGGGATATAAGATCAGCTCCCTCCTAAAATGGTTAAGACCTGGGTCTTCGAGCTAGCTTTTACTACTGGAGCATAATTAGATGAAAATGAATATATGGAACAACCAACGACACAATTGGACAACGATTTTAGTAAGGAGATGCTGAGGATCATGTTTTTATAGACATTATTGTTTCTTTTATATTACATTTTAAATGTTGAATTGTTTTTATAATTGTTTTAACTATATTTTGATAATTGTTATGGCATCGAATCGCTGCCGACTGTGAACCGCCAGTCAGGGGCAGCTCTATTTCTAGGAAACCAGACAACTGTCTTAGGCAGCAGATACAATAGGTGGCAATTGTAGCCCCAGCTTCCAAGAGGACAGAGCAAGTTGTGCCACATGGGCTCTTCTTACATCTCCTGAATTATCTTTCTTCACATCATGGTACAGAATGCTGGGCCATGGTCACCAGTATGATGTGGGAATCTAGTGAGGGAATCTACATGGACCAAGGATGAAAATACCATGTTACTTTTTCATCAGCCCTGAGCCATGTGTCCTAGACATAACTTTGCACCTCTAACTGCATGACTATGAATGGAAGGAATTTTCTATCTGGGGTTTTTCTGAGCTCTATTCAGGAACAGGGGAGTTTGATCTGGCTTCCTAAAATGATAATAGAAGTGTCCTTGGAAGGGAAGACAATACCCACCTTCCTGCAAGACTTGTCTGGCTGGGAATCACAACACCCAGTCCATACCACATGAATCTGGACCTTGCTCGGGTAGAGCAGAGCTCAGAAAAGCTAGGTTTTCTTTTTCCAGCAAAGGATAGTTTGAGGATTCTGGGACTAGAATTCAAAATATGTGAGTTTCCCAATCTCCGCGTCAATTATGTGATTGCACCCCCACTAATTCATTTGATCAATCAGAGAGAAAAAATCTACAACTACCAATAAATCAATGTTTTAAAGCCATATACATTTTAATATGCAGATTGGTATCCTGTGGCTGAACAGGCCCATATTTCTCAGGAAGAGAAGCCACTCTCTTCCTATAGGCACTCCAGTCCAAAGCAAGAACTGTGGCCCATTGAGGCACACCTTTTAAGACGTTGAGAACAAAACTGTTGTTTCTTTTGTTTTATAAAGTGTATGAAATCAGCTAAACTCCTAAACATCTGTGCGTGTTGGTTTTGGAGGTCTCTCCTTGTCACACACATATAACTTGTGGCTGGTCAAATACTGTTGCAGAGTCCCATGGATGCCATTTTTTGGTGTCAACTTGTTAACAGAAGAAAGATCCCACCAGTCTATCTGCCAGCAACAGCAGCCCCTCTTGCTCAGTGTGACTTTCCTTCCTTTGTCCAATTTTCTGAGAAAAGCTGCCATGTAAATATATTCTGCTGCATAGGGTCAAGGTGGTACTGCCTGGCCTGGTTTCAGCGGCAGTATTCCTGCTCTATTGATGCCATCAGCTCCTCTTCAGAGTAATCATAAGTGATTTTGGTTGTTCTGTCAGGATTCTTGAGTGGGACCCTGATAATTAATAGAGGGAAAAAGCAGAATCAGCACAAAGCACTATGAGCAAGTAGCTGCCCTGCTTCCCATTTCTCATTTATCTCCAAATTTCTTTGTAATATATTGGCTATATCACTTTTCAGTTGATAAGAGCAGAAGGAACAATGGAAGTGAAATGTGTGCATTCATATATGCCCTCTGGAGCTTAAAAAACTTACTCTTTTAGATGAGAATTGCCAGAAAGCTGTCTAGTGCTAGCTTCTGGGAGTTCCCAAAATCTGATATTGGACACACAGTATGATGGCTCATATATCTGTGGGGTATATGTTCCAAGACCCCTGCTTTTTTATAGCTCTACTTGGGTTAGAAGCATGCTATAGAGGACCCAGTGAGACCCCCAACAGTTCATGGATGACTGCGTTGTTGTAGGTTTTTGGGCTGTATGGCCATGTTCCAGAAGCATTCTCTCCTGACGTTTCACCCGCATCTATGGCAGGCATCCTCAGAGGTTGTGAGGATGCCTGTCATAGATGCAGGCAAAATGTCAGGAGAGAATGCTTCTGGAACATGACCATACAGCTCAAAAAACCCTACAACAACCCAGTAATTCAGGCCATGAAAGTGTTCGACAATACAGTTCATGGACGATTTTTTTAGTGTTAATTCAGCTCAAGGGGAACCACAATTAGCTCTAGAGCAGTGGTTCTCAACCTGTGCGTCCTCAGATGTTTTGGTCTTCAACTCCTAGAAATCCTAACAGCTGGTAAACTGGCTGAGATGTAGGCCAACACCTGGGGACCCACAGGTTGAAAACCACTGCTTTAGAGCTTCCGGGAAGCTTAAAAGTGACCCCTGTGTTTTTTGAGTTATGGACAGCTGGATCAGGTTTAATTGAGTGTCCACACACCAAAAATACATGTTTCTGCTGCCAGAAGCAGCTCCTTGGAAGAGTCCTGTTGGAGATGTTGCTTCTGGTGGTCACATAGTTGGATGTCTAATAATAATAATAATAATAATAATAATAATAATAATAATAGCCGATACATCACTCACTCAGTCCTAGACACTTGGGAAGTGTCCAACGTGTGATCTTATATAAAAGACAGCACAGTAATCTTGTTTGCTGTGAACTAACCTTGTTGTGTATCTAATAATAATAATAATAATAATAATAGCCGATGCATCACTCACTCAGTCCTAGACACTTGAGAAATGCCCAACGTGTGATCTTATACAAAAGCCAGCATAGTAATCTTGTTTGCTGTGAACTAACCTTGTTGTGTATCTAATAATAATAATAATAATAATAATAATAATAATTCTTACCTGCCTCTCCTCAAGTATTGGGGGTGCATGGGTGGGTAACAACATAATTAAAATACATAAGTAAAGACATACAACCAATAAAACACATATATTAAACACATAAACATAACATTAAAAAACATTAAAATCATTTATATAAGTAAAACGGTAATTTAAATGTATAGTTTAAAATTTATTGAATAGACCTGTCGGAAGAGATGGGGTTTTTAGTTGTGTTTTACATTCTGACCATTCGTGTAGCTGTCGAAGCTCTTCTGGCAAGTCATTCCACAGTCTTGGGGCAGCTGAAGAAAAGTTCATCTGAAGTCAGCAAGGCTCTGTCGGGAAGTTGCTTTGACCAGTGAAATGGTGGCTATGAGGCTCCTTCTACACTGTCCTTATATCCCAGGATATGATCACAGGTTATCAACTGTGAACTGGATTATATGAGTCTCCATTGCCAGATATTCTGGGATAATCAATAATATGGGATCAGATCCTGGGATATAAGGCAGTGTAAGGAGAAGTCTGCGCTGTTGGCCCACTTGAACATCTGAACTTCCAAAGGGCTCTGAGAATGTCTTCTGCTACTCCTGGGGCAGCTTCAGAATACATTGCTAGATAATTTCAGTAGTTGTAAATGCAGCCTACACTAAGCAACATTTGAAAACCTGGAAATGAAGGTACCTCCTGCAAAGAGGAAAAGAAAGAGAATAACCCACTGCTGAAGTTATTAGTGTCTGAATTAAGATTACTTACTGGTTGGCGAAGATGCTGCTCCCTGGGCTCGATCTTGCTGGAGAGACCTGGAAAGCAAGTGTATATGACATCATTAAATACACTTGCTATGATGAAACATAACTGAACATCGCTAGTAAATTGCAGAACTACATCGTAATTTCATGTACTGAGCTTCAGTAACTGCAAGCATATATTTTAACTATGGAGCGATGAATGCAGATACTCCTCCAGTAGTACATTTAAGTACTAGAATCTAGAAATCTGGTGCAATTGGTAGTTCAGTTTATTTAGTTAGATAAATAACTAAATGTGGTTTGGGTTCACTGGTTGTTTTTTTAAAAAAAAAACTCTTAGACCAGTACGTTACATAGCAGTTGCCCTTGCTGTGCATCTTTAAGTCATTTCCGACTTATGTCGACTCTAAGGCAAACCTGTCACAAGGTTTTCTTATTTGATACAGAGGGGGGGAAAACTATTTGCCATGACCTTCCTCTGAAGCTGAGGGAATGTGACTTACCCAGGATTACTCAGTGGATTTTCATGGCTGAGGGAAGAACCAAATTCTCATATTAAGAGTAATAGGCCAACACTCAAATCACTATGCTATGCTGGTAGAGGAAATTTAAACCTTCAGTTCCAACCATCTCTCTCAAATCTGCTTTCCCATCCAAGACAAGGAGCTTAATAATGGAGGAAAACTATCCACTTTTTGTTCACAAGATGAAGGTTATGAAAAAAATCCAACTCATAAATTCAATTTAATTAAATTTAGTTCATGCTCATGTGCCGTTGAGCTGTAGTTAAGGTGGCTTTCTTCCTCCATCTCATAATCATCCTCAAATGTTATATATGTGTGAAGTGCTCTTAGACAATAATTTCTTGTGCACTGCTCCCTTACATGCAACTCAACATCTAGACCAGGGGTCCTCAAACTAAGGCCCGGGGGCCAGATACGGCTTCCAAGGTCATTTACCTGGCCCTCGCTCAGGGTCAACCTAAGTCTGAAACGACTTGAAAGCACACAACAACAATCCTATCTCATCAGCCAAAAGTAGGCCCACATTTCCCATTGAAATACTAATGAGTTTATTTATTATTTATTTACAGTATTTATATTTCACCCTTCTCACCCCGCAGGGGACTCAGGGCAGATTACAATGTACATATACATGGCAAACGCTCAATGCCATAGACACACAACATATATAGACAGACACTCAGAGGCTATTTAACATTCCAGCTTCTGGCCACTGTCACTTCACCGTCCGTTTGTGACACTGATGAAGTACTTCCTAATTCTTTGCATACTTCCTGGAGATTTTTATGGCCACGTAAATCAGTTAAATTATATTTCTTTAAATTGTTATTAATTTTAATTGTTGTATTGTTTTTAAGTGTTTTTTGCACTACAAATAAAATATGTGCAGTGTGCCTAGGAATTCATTAATGGTTTCTTCAAATTATAATCTGGCCCTCTAACAGTTTGAGGGACTGTGACCTGGCCCTCTAAAAAGTTTGTGGACCCCTGATCTAGACTTTTGTCTTCCCCCTCTCTGGCTGGTCTAGAACTGTGGGTCCTGATTCCAATGGGGTCCCTTTAGCTCAGTGGTTCCCAAACTGTGGTCTATGGACCACCAGTGGTCCGCAAGAATGAAAATATGGTCTGCAGCCTCATCATTACTACACCGTTGCCTCAAAACCACGTGGTAATTAGAACTGATCTCGCAAAACGCTCTTATAGTGCCAAGGCAACAAGGATGCCAGCAGGGGAGAGGCTGACCACCCATGAAAGATTACTACTCCCACATCAGCTCTAGATTATTAAATATGGTTTTCTGTGGGTGAGCAGATGGAGACTACTGGAAGGCATATGTTCTGTATCAGAAACTAGAGTCTATGTGGTCTATCCAGTGCAATTTTCTGACCAAATCTAAAGTTGAACAAAAACTGATTCGTAACCCTTTCGGTACTAATGTTGGAGAGTGGTCCCTGTTCAAGTGGTCCCTTGTCAAATGGTCCCTGGTCAAAAAAAGGTTGGGAATCACTGCCTTAGCTCAATGTTGCAAAAAAAAAAAAGTTTACAATGCACAAAATGTTTCAGTTGTGCTTCATAAAAAGGGGAATCAGCCTGTTTAGAAAGCCTTGTGAGCACCAATTTATTACAGGGAAATGTTTGATTTTTATACCTATTTTATAGACCTCTATACCTGGGGTCACATAAAAACGTCTTGTGCAGAAAGGGGTCGCAAAGGAAATAATCCCTGGTTTAGAACAGAGTTTCTCCCACCCTATATTTCTGTGAGAAGTTGCTAAGGATTCCCATAATTTGGGGTGGGGGGGGGGCACACATTTTTAAAGCCATAGATATAATAATTTTAATACAGAGTTTCTCTGAGAATTAAAAAAAATATGGATTCCTCCATGATAAAAAAAAAGTTTAAGAAAGACTTGTTTAGAATGTGTGGCCTCCAGGGACTTTCTCTATGGTTGATGGGAGTTGCAACCCCAAGGTGATATTCTGTTGTGTTACAGAATAATATATTTTAGAGTCAGGAAAATTATTTTGTGGATGGGCCTGCTAATAAATTGTTTCAAGACCCAGCAATTATCTAGGGCCCTTCCAGACAAGCCCTAGGATATGATCCCAGGTCTGCTTTAAACTGGATTATATGAGTCCGCACTGTCAGATAATCTGGGATAAACAAAAAACCTGGGATCAGATTCTGGGATATAGGGACTGTCTGGAAGGGCCCTAGATAACATTATTTTTGTTCCTGGGTTATAAATGTCATTTTCTAATTGGCTCTATGATAAACACATGGAAAAAGTTTATTAAACTGTAAAAACTTTGTTTTTGAGGGACATCCTGCAGCACTTTTTGCTATAGTTTTTCAATTAATATCTCATAAGTGTCTAAACCAATTCAACATAGCTTGTGGCAGCGACAAAATGACATTTCTGAAGAGAAACAACTACTTTCCAAGTAAGTACCACATAATTAAACAGGAAATAACACTTTCAAACCAGGAACAGAACAATTTTCAAATTTTGTTACATAGTGTTATAACACAGTCTCCTCTCTCTGTCTCTCATTTTACTATAACACTCATCCTCCTGTATTTGTGCTAATCTTCACTCTCCGCCATAGGGAAGAGAGACCCAATACAAGATCCATGTCAGCCTCCATAGGTGTTATCTCTGGTGCATGCTATTAATTTAAAATTTTATTCAGATGTAAATTTAAAAGCTGATTTCTTAGACACAACCATCAGCTGAACATGGCAACCACAAGGTGGCACTTTTCACAAAGATTTCGTTAACCCACAACTACATAGTCTTCAATGCGGTAGAACTGAGAGCTCCAGTAAACATTTGCATTTGCAAGAAAATCCACCCAGATGTCTCTCTTGCTGTTTACTTGTGGATAAGTTGACATCCCTGCCAATAAGGGACATCTGCTAGTCCTATAAAGGAAAAAAAATTCCAGCCCTGCAAATAAGGGGCATTCCTGCTCTTAAGGGATTGTCTCCAATGTTTTAGCTCCCAAATAAGGACCATCCAGGAACAGCCCTAACAGTCACATGCTCTCCTGCCCCAAATAGGGACATCCCTTCCAATAAGATACACCTATCAGTCTGTGATCCTAAAATCAGTAATGGACACCGGATAGCCTTGGGGCCCTTCCACACAGCCATATAACCCAGAATATCAAGGCAGAATAACCTACTATATCTGCTTTGAACTGGGTTATGAGTCCACACTGCCATATATCTCAGTTCAAAGCAGATCATGTGGGATTTTATTCAGCTGCGTGGAAGGGGCCTTGGAAGAGGAAAGTTTTCTGACCCCCAAATGAGGGACATCCCTTCCATTTAGGGGCACCTGTCAGTCCTACAAGGGAAAAGTTTTCCAAACGTTCAAATAAAGGGCTTTTCTGGAAACACTGAAAAGAAAAGTGTAGAAACAAAAAGTCTCAGAAATCTTTCATTAAGGTCTTTGTTATATAGTTTGAATGACACATCATAGTAGTTAACATGGCCCCGCAACTCACATATTAATCCTTTTATGGTCCTTATTTTCCCCCTTCTTTTTCCCCTTTTTGTACTTATCTTAAAAGCTACACTGATTTTTTAAAAAAGGTTAATGATGCTAACCAACACACATTTTGGTGCTTCCGACGCTAGACCTGTTTTTGGGTCTATCTGACCTGCCAATTCCAAAAATGGCACCTGCTTTCCCCTGATAGATTCAGTTTTTGAGATACACAACGTATTAGTAATAACAACAACAACATAGGAGCCCCCCAGGTGGCACGTTGGGTTAAGCCTCAAACTTTTTAAACAGAAGGCCAGGTCACAGTCCCTCAATCTGTTGGAGGGCCAGATTATAATTTGAAAAACAGAACATGAATGAATTCCTATGCACACTGCACATATCCTTTTTGTAGTGCAAAGAACACTTTAAAAATACAATAATTAAAATGAAGAACAATTTCAACAAATATAAAATTATTAGTATTTCAATGGGAAGTGTGGGCCTGGTTTTGGCTGATGAGATAGGATTGTTGTTGTTGTGTGCTTTCAAGTCGTTTCAGACTTAGGTTGACCCTGAGCAAGGGTAAATGACCTTGGAGGGGCGCATCTGGCCCCCGGGCCATAGTTTGAGGACCCCTGGGTTAAGCCCTTGTGTCAGCAGGACAACGGACCGATAGGTCAGTGGTTTGAATCTTACATCCAGAGAGCACTGTGGACTCAAACAATGATGGATCTGGACTAAACTTGGCACAAATATTCAATATGCCCAAATGTGAACACTGGTGGAGTTTGAGGAAAATAGACCTTAACATTTGGGAGTTGTAGTTGCTGGGATTTATAGTTCACCTGCAATCAAAGAGCATACTGAACCCCACCAATGATACAATTGGGCCAAACTTCCCACACAGAACCCCCGTGACCAACAGAAAATGCTTCCAAAAAGGAAGAGAAGGGCAGGCAGAAAGATCTTCGGCCTCCTCTGCTAAAGGGGAGAATGGGGGACAATGCCTGGCTTGAGAGTGAAAAAGATCTTGGAGTCCTCGTGGACAAGTTAAACATGAGCCAACAATGTGATGTGGCGGCAAAAAAAGCCAATGGGATTTTGGCCTGCATCAAGAGGTGCATAGTGTCTAGATCTAGGGAAGTATTCTGCTTTGGTTAGACCACACCTGGAATATTGTGTCCAATTCTGGGCACCACAATTTAAGAGAGATATTGACAAGCTGGAATGTGTCCAGAGGAGGGCAACTAAAATGATCAAGGGTATAGAGAACAAGCCCTATGAGGAGCGGCTTAAGGAGCTGGGCATGTTTATCCTGAAGAAGAGAAGGCTGAGAGGAGATATGATAGCCATGTATAAATATGTGAGAGGAAGCCACAGGGAGGAGGGAGCAAGTTTGTTTTCTGCTTCCCTGGAGACTAGGATGTGGAACAATGGCTTCAAACTACAAGAAAGGAGATTCCATCTGAACATGAGGAAGAACTTCCTGACTGTGAGAGGTGTTCAGCAGTGGACCTCTCTGCCCCGGAGTGTGGTGGAGGCTCCTTCTTTGGAAACTTTTAAACAGAGACTGGATGGCCATCTGTCAGGGGTGATTTGAATGCAATATTCCTGCTTCTTGGCAGGGGGTTGGACTGGATGGCCCATGAGATCTCTTCCAACTCTTTGATTCTAGGGGTTCCTAAGACTATCCGAAATATGTGTTTTCTGATGGTGTTTGGCGACCCCTTTGACCCCCTCGTGACCCCAACCCCCAGGTTGAGATGCTGAGCTATATTTAGGGAGGGAGCAGCGTACTTACTGGGGGCTCCTGTCTGTGCTCTGGCGCGCCCCCTGGCGGGCGGGGGCAGGAAGCGTCTCCGGCGTCGAGGCGCAGAAGAGGCGAAGCTGGCCATGGGGTGGGGAGCGCCTCTTCCTCGCCGCTGCCCCATTCCTCCAGGATCTTCTCCAGGAGCGCCAAATCCGAATCAGGCGTCGGTGGGGAAAGGATCCGGACCGCTTCTTCTTCCTCCTCCTCCTCCTCCTCCTCCTCTTCTCCTTCTTCTTCTTCTTCCTCTTCCCCCTCGTCTTTAGCTGGGCTCTGCCTTCGGGGAGAGCCCCATGGCTGGCTGGCCTCCGAGCCCATGGCTGGCCAAGGCGCTGTTCAGTCGCGGTTCTGATTCCCAACTGAAGCCCAACTGCTGCTCCTGCTGCAAAGGTGGATTCTCACCAGCCCTTGGCTTCCTCCCAGGTCATCACAGGATTCAGGCACTGCTCCTCTTTCCCTGCTCAGTGCACACTCCAGTCTCGTGGATCTGTTTTCCCAACTCAGGCAGAAGAAAGAGGAATGCTGCTTGGACCCGCTCCCTCTCTCTTCCCATCCAAGGAATTTGGCCTGGAAAGCAACCCAATGGGTGTAGCCTCCTCCTTCCTTTCTTTCTCCCTCCTGGTTTCACAAACCGCTCTTGGATAAATATTGTTCAGCCGACTTGGGGGGAGAAAAAGGAAAGGAAATGCCCAAAGGCAATGGTCATATCTGTGCTGGTGGAGTAGGAACCCCGACAAAATAAATAAGAAGGCTTCTTCCAAGACTCAAAGTTGGAGCAGGAAGCCAAATGTGGTTTGGCTTCCTGCTCCAACTTTGAGTCCTAGAAGAAGCCTTATTATTTATTTTGTCGGGGCGCAACCCAGAAGGAGGTTGAGCTGCTCACTCCTTTCACAAAATACATATTTCCCTCTCTAAATCAGTGTTTCTCAGCCTTCCTCATGCCACGACCCCTTAATACCCCATGTTGTGTTTATTTATTTATTTTTTGGTCATGTCAGGAGCAACTTGAGAAACTGCAAGTCGCTTCCGGTGTGAGAGAATTGGCCATCTGTAAGGATGTTGCCCAGGGGATGCCGGATGATTTGATGTTTTTTATCATCCTTGTGGGAGGCTTCTCTCATGTCCCCGCATGAGGAGCTGGAGCTGATAGAGGGAGCTCATCCGCCTCTCCCCGGATTTGAACCTGCGACCTGTCGGTCTTCAGTCCTGCCGGCACAAGGGTTCAACCCACTGCGCCACTAGTGGTGACCCCCAACCATAAAATTCTTTTCGTTGCTACTTCATAACTGTAATGTTGCTACTGTTATGAATTGTAATGTAAATATCAGATAGGATGTATTTTCATTCACTGGACCAAATTTGGCACAAGTACCCAATATGCCCAAATTTGAATACTAGTGTGGTTGGACTGGATTGATTTCATCATTTGAGTGCAGGATGTATTTTCATTCACTGGACCTAATTTGGCACAAATGCCTGATACATCCCTTATTCACAACTGCCATTGCGGAATGTGCGTAACGCTCGGAGCTTCCGTACCCAGCAATCATACTATCATCCTGTCTAGTTGTGCCCAACTCTGGGGATTGGTGTTCATCTCTATTTCTAAGCTGAAGAGCCAGCGTTGTCCATAGACACCTCCAAGGTCATGTGGCTGGCATGACTGCATGGAGCGCTACTACCTTCCCGCTGGAGCAGTACCTATTGCTATCAGTGGTTCTCAACCTGTGGGTCCCCAGATGTTTTGGCTTTCAACTCCCAGAAATCCTAACAGCTGGTAAACTGGCTGAGATTTCTCGGAGTTGTAGGCCAAAACACCTGGGGACCCACAGGTTGAAAACCACTGATCTACTCACATTTGCCATGTTTTCAAACTGCCAGGTGGGCTGAAGCTCCCTATAGGAGTCCCTTGGTGCAGTGTTTCTCAATCTTCCTAATGCCGCAACCCCTTAATACAGTCCCCCATGTTGTGGTGACCCCCAACCATAAAATTATTTTCATTGCTACTTCATAACTGTAATTTTGCTCCTGTTATGAATCGTCATGTAAATATCTGATATGCCGGATGTATTTTCATTCACTGGACCAAATTTGGCACAAATACCCAATATGCCCAAATTTGAATACTAGTGTGGTTGGACTGGATTGATTTCATCATTTGAGTGCAGGATGTATTTTCATTCACTGGACTAAATTTGGCACAAATGCCGAATATGTTCAAATTGGATTACTGGTGTGGTTGGGAGGGATTGATTTTATGATTGGGAGTTGTAGATGCTGGGATTTATAGTTCACCTACAAACAAAGAGCAATCTGATCCCCACCAACAATGAAATTGACCCAAACTTGGCAAACAGAACTCCCATGACCAACAGAAAATACTGGGAGGGTTTGGTGGGCCATGACATTGAGTTTGAGAGTTGTAGTTCACTCACAGAATGATAGATCTTAGTCAAACTTGACATAAATACTCAATATGCCCAAATGTGAACACTGGTGGAGTTTGGGAAATATAGACCTTGACATTTGAGAGTTGTAGTTGCTGGGATTTATAGTTCGCCTACAATCAAAGAGCATTCTGAACCCCACCAGAATTGGGCCAAACTTCCCATACAGAAACCCCATGCCTTGAAGGGACTCGCTGACATGAGCCTCCCCCAGCCTCATGCGCTCTCCCACGCCCACACATGCGCACCACACTGCCACTTGCCAAGCACGCCTGCTCTCCCCTCTCTTCTTGGAGTCTCAGAAACAGCCGTCCCATTGCCTGAGTCATAGCAGAGGAGGGCTTTTGGTGGGAGGATTAGCTGTCTGTTTACAAAAAGGAAGAGAAGGACAGGCCGAGAGATTTTCAGCCTTCTCTGTCAAAGGGGTTCCCAAGACCATCAGAAATATATGTTTCGTATGGTCTTTGGCAACCCCTCTGAAACCCCCTCGTGACCCCCTCCAGGGGTCCCAACCCCCAGGTTGGGAAACGCTGCTCTAAAGCAGCCGACTAGCCGACTAACCCAGACATTTAATGTCTTTCAAAGGTTGCCAAGCTGGTAATAATAATATTTAGAAGGATTAATGCATCTATGTATATGTAATATAATATATTGTATATAAATATAATATTTATAATATTATAATGCAATACAATATAATATTAATACTAATAATATATTATAATTATATATTTTATATTACATGTAATATTACTACTAATCTTGCAATATAATGGTATAGTACATTATAGTAAAATATAATACTGATAATGTAATATGCTAATAATATAATGTATTGTATGTATGTATATATATATATCTTTTAAGCTGCTCTGAGTCCCCTTCGGGGCGAGAAGGGCAGCATATAAATGTCGCAAACAAACATATACATTGCAGAATCAATGCTGTTTGGCCCTGCTGCAATGGCTCGGTGTTACAGAATCACAGAAGTTATAGTTTTACAAGGTCTTTAGCCTCTTCTGCCAAAAAGGGCTGGTGTCCTATAAACCCCTAGATTCCATAGTCGAGAACCACAGCGGCGAAAGTGGTGTCTGCCTGCATTCATTCTATAGTGTAGATGCACACTGTGAGGTTTGGTTGTGGACTGGCCATAAGTCCGTGCACATTGAGTTGAAAGTACTATGCATCCCAGTGGAATTGGTGTCTTAGTAAGCATGTCTAGGGCACACTTATTTGTGTGAGTCCTTCAGCTTGACTTGGCCTTATTGTCAGCTACCACGGAAATGCAACAAGGTTGCAAGTTGGATCAACAAACACAACACTGTGGCATCTTCTGACATCCTGGATGGCAACATACTTGTTTACCTGGTACTGAACACGCAGAACACACAGTTCTTCCAATGGGTTGGCAGTTTAATAGTTTAGGGACCTCAGCAATGAGGTAGCAGGGGGACACATCATACCTCATGGAAAACTTTAATGTATATATATTTAAAAATCTGTGTGTTTCTAAAAAATAAATAACATACATGTTCAAGTTTTTTGTCATTTCTTGTTATGTCCGTGCAACATAGCGGCCAATATACGAATCTGTTGCAACACACAGCTTGGAAAGCTCTGCTCTAGGCCATTTCCACCACATTTTAAACTTTCCTTAACCAATGTAGCATTTAGAGATACCTTTTTTAACAAAAAGGAAGTAAGAAAAAGGCCTATCTGGGGCTCCAAATGGTCTAGGAAGTCCTCCAAACTTTGTGGAAATACCCCAGTGCCCTAGACTGTGCTTGGCAACACAAACATTTGGTGTATTTAAAATATATTTTTGCAGAAGTGGGAGAACTGGCGGTACTGCCTTCCAAGGTCTTCTGGAAGGTCAATACAATCTCTAACCTCCCACAGTTGCCCAGTTCAAGGATTCCTTGTTGTGTTTGAAGGTGCTAAATACAAGAGCTGCATCCTTCAATCTAGTTCTCAGAGCTGAGGTTATGTGAACAAGTTTTGCTCAGCTCTTGAATGCACAGATTCAATTTTCCACTCGCTGTCTCCTGCCATGCGTTGCCGTGGCCCAGTCTGTGTATATGTATGTACATATATTTGTGTATATGTGTATTTATGTGGTTATTTGCTGTCCCCTGTGGCACAGTCTGCGTATATGTGTTTTGTGTATATATTTGTGTATATGTGTGTTTGCACACACACACACAGACACATAAATATGTGTGTGTGTGTGTGTGTGTGTGTGTGGTTTTGTGCATGTGTTGTATTTTTTTTGTTTATTTATTTATTTATTTGTTTGTTTACTTTATTTATATACCGCTTTTCTCAGCCCTCAGGCGACTCAAAGCGTTGAACAACATCGATATAAAACATCATGAGACAAGTATAGGGCAATTAAAAACAATTGTAACATAAATCATTAAACATCAGTATAACAATCATTAGCGCCTCAACAGTAAAATCAGAATCCAGTCTCATCATCCATTATTCCGTATTCCTATGTTCAGTTACACTGTTTAATCAAATGCTTGTTCGAACAGCCAGGTCTTCACTTTTTTGACTTTTTAAATATCTTCTGTGTTTTTCAGTGTTTTTACGAGTGATGGTCACTCATTGGCCTAATAGGTGTATTGTGTCCAAATTTGGTGTCAATTCTGACTGCTAGTGCATTTATAGTTAACTTGTATTCTTGGTTTTTAAAGAAGAGAGTAGAAATTGTCCCAAAGAAAAAAAAGCGAAGAAGTTGTGTCTCAAGGGAAAATGCAGCGTCTCAAGGGAAAATGCACGTTAAGGCTAACATTTGCAATTCTTTATCAAGAGATGATTAGATCACTTTGCTATGGCTTGTTTCTTTAAATTTTGTATTGTTTATTTAATCCACTAAGTATAAGAGATGCAGGTGGGGGAGCAGCATGGGGATTGAAGTTTTGCAGTTTTAAATTTCAGATTTGTGGTCTAGAAGTATTTCTGTGTGTTTTGTTTTCCACGAACCTTTACATCAGTGTTTCTCAACCTGGGGGTCAGGACTCCTGGGGGAGTCATGAGGGGGTGTCAAAGGGGTCACCAAAGACCATCAGAAAACACAGTATTTTCTGTTGGTCATGGGGGTACTGTATGGGAAGTTTGGCCCAATTCTATTGTTGGTGGTTCAGGGTGCTCTTTGATTGTAGGTG